ACTACTTTTCCCTATCCCTTCAGTTTGTGAATATGTTCTGGAGTTGATACTTTTCAGTCAGTATTCTGATGACAAGATCAGTCCACTTTTATGGACTGTTCTTGCCATGATGCCATTTCTCTTTTGAGAGTGACATGAAAGTATGTTTTAGATTCTTTTTTAGAATTGTGTGTAATGCCACTCCATGCAGCAACCACCAGATGGTAATGAAGAGCAGGCCAATTGTTTGTCTTCTGAGAATTGTGTCTATTACCACTGCGGGATATTTAAGCTTTGACAACTGGGATTCTAAATACCAAATTGCTCAACTCTTTACAGTTCATTGGGCCATTGCAGAAGTCTAACTTATCATTTGCATTTTAGACTCTTTTTGTTTCTTTTTTGGTATAACATTTTAAAGTCCTAGTTCTATATTTAGTACCAAAGTAGTCCTCATGAGGCTAATGCCCTTTAGAACAGTGGTTGGTATAAATCAAAGGATGGTTGAATTTTGAATTTATTTGAAATACAGAAGTTATCCCTTTATTGACTAATGGATATACACACATAGAACATAAATACGTTTTAAGAACTAAGTCGCTGTACTCTCATATACAAATACTGTGGGAGTCAGCCACAAGAGTTGGCAATGTTGCCCAATACAACAGTTGGGCGTAAAGGTCCCATAACATGTTGAACTCTACTCCCATGACTATATGGCACAAATACTCTCCATGATTAATAAAAAAATATTGAAGAGGAACAGCAATCCTTACATCAGGGTGTCCTTTCTATATTTATGTTTTCCCTTCTTTTTCAGGAGTGGGATCCAGGAGCAGAGTTCAAAACATAGCAAAGGTTGGCAAGAAGGTGGCAGCTAATATTTAGCTCATGTGCTCTCACCTTGAGATACACTGTGGTATTCATAATCTTATCCCTGAAGTGTTGTTATCATGAAGGCTGCAGTATCCTACTGCCACGTGTGGATTAATGCACTGGCTAGCTGGGCCCAGGCCCAGGGGTCCCTGCCTCGGCACAGATGAAACCGGAGGCCAGGCCAGGCTAGGCCAGGCCAGGCATGCAAGTTGTGGTGGGCTGTGGCTGCCGGGTGCTGTTTGCTGGGTGCTGCTGCGGTCAGACTGAGCCATGGTGGGGCAAGGGGCTGCCCCTGGAGCTCGGTCTGTGCCACACATGCCTGGTGGGCAGTGACTCTGCATCCCCAGAGCCGGCTCCACCACGGACCTGTGGGTGGGGGCAGCTGTGGCTCCTGTCCCAGGCCTGAGGGGCAGCACATCCTGCTCTGCCTGCTGCTCCCCCTGCATCAGCCAGGGACGGAACCCGCGGCTCTGGGGAAGGGTGCAGGTCTGGGAGGTGGGGGGCTCGGCCCATAGGCGGAAGACCTGGCCCAGGACTCAATGAAACTTAATCTGCCCTTGCCAGCTGCAGAGTAAAAACCATAGAACTACTGTCACTGGTGCTCACAACTTTTTTTTAATACATTATACATCCCCAGATGCAAGTAGGCTGTTGCCTATGAAAGCTTATGCCTCTCTGAAGCATTAGTCACTAAGATGCCACCCTGCCCTAACTTCTACCTGACTAACATAGATAAAATCTCTCTATTACATCATGAAGTCTCTTCTGGAAACCTATATTGGAAGAAGTCAATTCCCCACTCTTTCCTGGATCCTAGATTATGATCTCCCCTTCTTAGGTGCATGGGGGCCTTATAATTATGCAAGGTGAGAGCAGAATACAACTACAAATTGTGCCAAAGGAAGGGGTGGTTGGAAAGAGGATGAGGAAAGGGCTAAATGCTAGCAAAACTCGCAGGCAACATTTGATGTAAATATATACTACTTAAAATGAGGAGAAAGGATTTGGACAGTGGAGAGAGATAACTGGGGAAACTACAGGGAGGGAGGCTAGGGATGGAAGCATAGGGAGTCCCTACTTCTTGTACAAAAACTTTATTTTGCCCAGCATTAGCAATTCCTGACAGTGACTTCTGTCATAAATCTTGCTTTAACTGGCACTGTGGGCAGAACAGAGGTCTTTTGCAATGTACAATGCCCATGCTTCCCTTCTTTAATCATCCATATTTAAATGGCTAGAAGGAACTACAGAAATCTAATTAAAATCAGCAACATCACCTTTTCCCCACTTCCTCTGAAATGAATTCCCTACCACTGTTACAAAGTATAAAAGGAATGTGTGTTAAAAATAACAGTGAGACTGAAAAGGACTCTTAATAACAATATACTTCAGAGTAAAATATGTCAGGGTAACCTTAATCCTGGTGTTAGTGTCTTGAAGGTTTGGGGAATTTTGGCCATATATATAAGAACCAAACTGGGTCAGCTGAATAGTAAATCTTTACACACGGATTTTTGGTCTGTGCTGAAAGAAAGAATGAGCTGATGGTTAAAGTATTGGACCGGAGATACGAGTTAAATTCCTGATTCTGCCACGTATTTCCTCTATTATTGGGGAAAGCCCTTAATCTCTGGTTCTCAGTTGCCATCCCTGAAACAGAGAGAGTAATATTTGCTTTTTTTCTTTATCCTTGATCTGTCTTGTGTAAATTTTTCAGGGCAGAAGCTGTCTCTAGCTATATATGGAAATTAGTATAATAGTTTGTACTGTGCTATGAATGCTTTTTTATTTTAATGAGTAATAATGCTGCTGAAATATACCAAGTATACTACATATTAATGGACACACATAATGTAGTATGTGGAGTAATGTAGTATGGGGAGAACTGAAGGGAAGAAGCTTGCATTTCATTCTTCAAAACTTCTGAAATACATGTAAACAATTTGCACAAATCAAAATACCTGTGCACCGCCCCCACACAGGGCAGGGGGTTGGACTCCATGATCTATTTAAGTTCCTTCTGACCCTAAAAATCTATGAAATCTATAAATAAAGGGCATTTGTAGAATCAAAACTGGCTGTCTAGATGGAGTATTTTGAAAGATAAACAGCAGTAGACTATATAGATCTCATAGCTTTGTTTTTTAAAGGAGGCAGAAAGGACATCTTCCCTGGTGCCAGCTCTGTAGTAAATTCAGGAAGATTTCCAGTGCATGCTAGTTTTGAAGATAATCAGGCATTTCAACGGTTGATGCTGTGGCGAATAATGAACAAAGCCCTTCTGGGTCAGGTTTGGCTGCATGTATAGTCTTATTGGAAACAGCTACAGAATCTGCCTTGTATATATGCTAGCGGAGTGAACTTCAGCATTCATACTTACGTTTACATGCACACTAGTTTCCCAGTCCAAACAACACAGGGACACAGCCAAGGCTGGGGACTTTGATTGGGGCATGCTGATGCTCTTGCTGGGAGCACAGCCGGAACAGACCTCCACTCAGCATCACAAGGATCATGGGCGACTGGTGATGCCTCAGTCAGGGGTGCACGTGCCTCCCCAGCAACCAGTCAGAGACTGGGCAAGGGGGCCCCCCGTGGCCGATCACTCCCACCTGCCCATTGCCTAAGTGGTGAGTGCGGCCGGTCAGGGGATGCACCAGTGCTCTCCAGGGGTGCCCGTGCACCCCCCACACACCACCACTGACACTGATCATCTTATTTGGGGTCAGGAAGGAATCTTACCGCATGGTCAGATTGGTACAGACTGTGAAGGTTTTTGCCCTCCTCTGTAGGGGCAAGTCTCTACCCAAGACCTCCTGCTTGTATATATTGACTTGTTACAGAAACAGGACATTCATTGGCTGCTGAGGTTTCCTTGCTGTTAGGTCGGTGCTGTGTCAAGGCTGTAGGTCTGTGTTGCCAGGGCTGTAGAGCTGTAGGCTGTTATGCAGAGTTTACATGATGGTTTAGGTGGGCTGGTGAAGGTCGTGCCTCAGGCAGAGGGCTGCACTACAGGCCCCTGGAGGTCCCTTCCAGCCCCACATCTCTAGGCTTCAATGCAAGAACAAACTGGTTGCAGTAGATCAGCCTGGGAAGACGTCGGGAGCCAGCGGAGCATTTCTAGAGGGATCCAGCCGTAATTGGTGCCTAGGAAGGGAATGCTTGGAGTCACCAAACCTGGCTTCACTCTTAGGGGGACGAGGGAGCCCCAGAACAAGAAGCCCAAACCCCAGTCCGGGAGTGTGGAGGCGTCTCTGCCTCTCTACTGCCCCAGGGGAATTAGCTCGATTACATCCGTGTGTGGGCTGCGCTGGGGCGAAGTGCTCTGGACACTGCTCGGCCCCGCGTCCCGGCCCCGCCAGCTACAGCCTCCCGCGACCGCCGGAGCCTGCTCCTGCTTCTGCCACGCCGGGGGCCGCGTCCCCTTCCCCCCGCGAGGCGACGGAGGCACAGGAAGACTTCGCCCCGGGAGGGGAGGGGAGGGGGCGACAGCAGCCTGCGTCACGCGGGAGCCGCGGCTCCAGAGGAGCAGCCACAGCGCCCCGAGGGGGCGGGCGAGCGGCGGGGACCCTTCTCCTCGGGAAGGGCCGGCCTCTCGCTGAGTGACACCACTCCGCGCCAATCACCGGTGGGGCCTCGCCCCCCTCCCCTCCGCCTCGCTGGGCAGCGCGTGGGGCCGCGTTAACCCCTTCCGCGCCGAGCGGGGAGCAGCAGCCGCCAGGCGCGGGGAGCGGCGCGGCCCCGGCTCGGAGCGCGG